CAAGGGTTGAGATCCCCTTACCAGTCATCTTTAAAAAAAAAAAAAAAAAAAAAAAAAAAAGTAATAACTATAGAGATTTTGGAAATATCTCAAAAGAATAAAAAGCAGTAGTATCTCGCTAAACTAATAAAGCTACTGTTTTTAGTTTTTTTGTGCACCAGGGTTTTGTATGTAGCTCTAATTATAACTTGGGTGTATAGACTTTATATCATACTAGTTCTATTTATATCATAAGCATTTTTTATTTTGTTAACTCTTTGTTGTAGTGGTCATTTTAGATGGATCTAGAATATTCCTGTGTGGGTGAATCACAACTTACTTAACATGCCTCTGTTCTTGAACAGACCAACAACGTTTTTAGTAACTGACACAAGTATTTTTAGCATTTAATTAGGGGGCCTACATATTTTTTCTAAAATTTGTTTATAATTGGAAAGATGAATTACATCCAAAATGTGTAGTCAGCTTTTTCAAGGCATTTGTGAGTTTGCGTTAGCCTTTTTTTTTTTGGCAGCTGTAACCAACTGAGCTAACCAGCCAGCCCTTTTCTGGTTTTTTGTGTGTTTGTTACTCTTCAAAACTTTTTTGGAGGCTTACTGGTCAAAGAAAAATCATGCAGGTAGAAATTAGTGTGTTTTTAAATCAAGCATGTGGATATGCTAATAGAGAAATTTTTACAGCAGTTGGCATTCTTCCACATCTGCTTTGGATTCCAGCCTGGGCAGCCATCAGAAGTGTCTCAATCGTGGGTCTTGGAAGAGAAAGACTACATCATCTCTTATACCCAGGGCCGGTGTGCAAGTGGTTTCTCTCTGAGGAGGCAGAAAGGTTGAAGCATTCTGTGGTTACAAATCAATTTTAATGGAAGTGACAGTTTCAAAAAACTATTCCAGAAAATACTACAATCATATTACTGTCCAGGGCCCTAAGGTGAAGAAAACTTTATTGCTATGGACAAGCCACCTGGGTCAGAGCAATTTGCAATGACATTTGATAAGTAGTTTGACCCTTATTACCATGAATTAATGTAAGAAATAAGACTCTCCATCAAACAAATTGAGGACATTTACCAATAGGGTTTTTTGGCTTAGACCTCGAACTCATATAGCCCTTGTGATAGGATTAGGTCTTTATATGATTTGATAACTAGAGAGGACACTCAGTGACCATGGGGAGGAGTGAAAACCTTCTAGGCCATATGGATGTCACACCATTTAATGGTCACCCCTTCCTGGGTTCGAAGGATTATTTCATCCTATGCCTCATATCAGAAGTGTAAATCTCTCATGTTTCTAGTAACAGGGTGGAACCGGAACCAATAGACCATTCTAGAAACACTTAACATAAACAGAATAAAAAGCAGACCTTGAGCCAATTCATCCTTCCTGGTGGAACATGAGCAGGACTTCGCACAGTTGGGCAGGTCAGAGCCCATTCCTGACTGAGCCCCCGATCCCCCTGGGGTTCACAGGCTTGCCTTCCCCCCCTTCTCCTTCATCCGTCTGTCTCCTGGCTGTAGACTGAGGGCCACAAGCCTCAGTCATCCTCAGCGGATCAACATCAAGTTGCAGCTTCCTAACACAACCCCGTCAACATTGTAGGGAATCAGTGCTGTCTTCCTCTGAAGCCGAAGGAGTGGACCTGCCCCAACACAGCACTTATGCCCCCCAGGCTCTTGGCTGGTGTTAGTTATTTAAGAAGCCATTGGACACACTCTGGATATTCCCCAGGACATGGTCATCACAGTGGTACTAAAGCTAAAGGGACCATCTAGAGCAAAGAATAAGTAGATAGACCTGCCCCCCACCCTCTCCCTCCCCACGCACTTACTGGGGCTCTCCCGGTCTTCCCCTGGCCAGGAACTGCTTTCAGTCATCCTTGTATCCCTGTACAGCTAGCACAGGACTGGGCACAAAATAGGCCCTCAGTGCTTATCCCTGGAATGAATGCGTGCGTTTCTTATTCCACCTTTAGCTCTATCACTGAGAGGCCAGGAATTATGTTGTTTTTTTTCCGTGCGTTTCTTATTCCACCTTTAGCTCTATCACTGAGAGGCCAGGAATTATGTTGTTTTTTTGTTTTTTTTCCCTTTTTTCGTGTCCGGCAACGGACCGCAACCCTCAGTGTTGCGCCCGTACCGGACCGGGACCGGCAATAGGATCGCAACCCTCGGTGCTGCGCCCGCCCCTCGCTCAGCCAGTGAGCGGGAACCAGTCTGTGTGTGAGATCCGAACCCTCAGCAGGAGCGCTGCCGCGCTCCCAAGCGGCGCACCGTAGCAGTGCGCCACCGGGCTGGCCCCAGGAATTATGTTAAGTGTCACTAATTTAGGGTTATCTTCTGGTATCTGTCTGTCTTATGTGTTGGGATTTAACCTTCACATTTCATCTCCTATGTATCTCAAGTCTCTTTCCTTGTGTATCAAAATCCCAGTGGATTGTGAGACGCCCTGTTCTACCCGGACCATGTTAAAGGCCCAAGTGGGCTTTGGTCACTAATGATATTGGTCTCGCCAAGTTTTTTTGGGGTTTTTTTGTTTGTTTGTTTGTTTTGGTTTTTTGGGGTTTTTTTCTTTTCTTTTTTTTTGCTTGTTTTCTCTTTGCTGAACTTCCATTGTTGTCCTTAAATAAATTTGATAAAAAGGTCGCTTCAATCTGATGCCAAGATCATATATACTACACATTATAGAAGATGTTTTTACTTTACATGACTACATCATACACCTTGGGAATAAAAGTAGGAGCTAGTGATAATATTGAGAAGAAGTCCTTTCAATTTGTGTATACTCTGCATATATCTTAAAAAATTATAAAGTAGAGCCGGCCCATGGCTCACTCGGGAGAGTGCGGTGCTGATAACACCAAGGCCACGGGTTCGGATTCCATATAGGGATGGCCGGTTTGCTCACTGGGTGAGCGTGGTGTTGACAACACCAGGCCAAGGGTTGAGATCCCCTTACCGCTCATCTTTAAAAAAAAAATTATAAAGTAGGTTTATATGTGTATGAGTGTCAATTGAGTGTGTGAGCATGTTTGCTCACTGGGTGAGCGTGGTGTTGACAACACCAGGCCAAGGGTTGAGATCCCCTTACCACTCATCTTTAAAAAAAAAATTATAAAGTAGGTTTATATGTGTATGAGTGTCAATTGAGTGTGTGAGCAGGTCTGCGTGTGTACGTGTGTGAGGGAGAGAGACTGGCAGGAACTGAGTTAGGGACAGTAGAAGGTGGGCAGGGCAGGCAGCTCTGCTCCTGCTTAGTGTGTATAAGAAAAGGTTGACATTCTTCATCCTACAGATGCTTACAGTCCCCAAGTGCAGAATTTCCATCTCCACTTTTGTCGTATTATGCATTTAGTGAATAGTGTGTATAAGAAAAGGTTGACATTCTTCATCCTACAGATGCTTACAGTCCCCAAGTGCATCTCCACTTTTGTCGTATTATGCATTTAGTGAGTTGGATCTAAGTTGTCAGTGTGAACAGTTTGTTATTTGAAGCCACATAAATTATTAGTAAAGTCTGTGTTTTCCTGGCTTTGTTTCCTGGCATTGTAAATGGTTTTCACTAAACCAAATCTGGTTTTCACAAATAAAATCTAGATCAGTATAATTCAAACAAGTCAGTGAAGAAAATAAAGAGAATTGGTGCCTGCTTTAGTCATGATTAACTTTTTTTCCAATACTACATTATGTACTTGGGTTTTTTTTTATTGTGGTAAAAGATACATAACATACTATTTATCATTTTAACCATTTGTAAGTATATTGTGACATTAAATACATTCACAATACTTACACGATCACCGCTATTTGTACCCAAAATCTTTTCATTATTCTCAATAAAGACTTGTACCCATTAAATAATAATAAATAATATTCCCCCCACCCCTGGTAACCACTGTTCTACTTTCTCTCAATTTACCTATTCTAGGTACCTCATAGACGAAACCATACAGTATTTGCCCTTCTGTGTCTGGCTTATTTCACTGTGTATGATATATTCAACAGCCATCCATGTCGTGGCATATATCAAAATTGCCTTCCTTTTTGTGGTTGTATAATGTCCATTGTATGTATACATGTATCACATTTTGTTATCCCTTCATCATTGATGGACACTTTGGTTGCTTCCACATTTTGGCTATTGTGAATAATGCTGCTGTGCACATTTGGTGTACAAATATCTGTTTGAGTCCCTGCTTTCAATTCTTTTGTAAATATACCTGGGAGTAAAATTGCTGGGTCATATGGTTGTTCTGTGTTTAACCTTTTGAGAAGCTGGATTGGCTTCTTCTTGTGACTTAGGTTTCAGCATAAAATGTCACCATTTCAGAAATGCTTTTTCTTCCTGCCTAGTTTAAAAGGGCAATAACACTCCCCCACTCCGACCCTCCCATGGCCTGACACATTCTGTCACAGCACCTCTTTTACCTTGCTAAGGCACATCACTAGCAGATATTTCCTTGTTTATTTGATTGCTTCTCTATATCCACCCGTTAGACTGTCAGCTAAGGGGAAGCCAGACCTTGTCTTTCCCTGGCATCAGAACAGTGCCAGGCACATGCTATGCAGCCAGTCTATATTTGTTGATTGAATGAGTAATCCATTTCCTTCTCTTTCAGTATTGGATACAAATGACCGATTTCTGCGAAAAATAACGATCGGGCAAGCAAGCACCGAAAAGGGGTATTCCCGGCAGGTAGGTGGTGCTTTATCCCCTGGAGTGGGTGTCTTAGTTTTCTGTTGCTTATAACAGAATACCTGAAACTGGGTTATTTATAAAGAAAATAAGTTTATTTCTTATAATTTGGGAGGCTGGGAAGTCCAAGGCCGAGGGAACACATTTGGTTGAGGGCCTTCTTCCTGGTGGGGACTCATTATTTATAAAGAAAATAAGTTTATTTCTTATAATTTGGGAGGCTGGGAAGTCCAAGGCCGATGGAACACATTTGGTTGAGGGCCTTCTTCCTGGTGGGGACTCAGCAGAGGGGGGACTCTGCAGAGGGGAGTGCTGAAGTTCTCTAACATGCTGCTTCCTCCTTTTGTAAAGCCACTAGTCTACTCCTTGATAACCCATTACTCCATAAATGGGCCAACCACCTCTTAAAGGCCTCACCTTTCAAATACAACATTGGGGATTAAGCTCCAACGTGAGCCAGGGGGACATTCAAACCACAGCCTTGGTTTTACTCACATTGGTTTCCACCAGGCCCAAGGTTTGCTCTCTGCTTTTTTCTTCTTGTTCCCCACCTGCAGTGTCCAGTGGCCCTCCCACCCACTCTGGGTGGTGTTTCCAGTCCCTCAGCAGGACTGGGAGAGATCAAGAGGCATGAAGACTCTGGTGTCTTCTTACTATTTTTTCCGTATGTGTTTTCAATTGTGCTTCTGAGAAGAGGCACTAAGGGTGTCTCTCGAATATAAATTCTTACATGTTTTATTGGAAACCCATACAGTTAAAACTATATCTACATAACAACTAAAAAATGAAAATCTCAGACACATTACTAAAATTTCATAAATCAGAGAACAAATACCTAGTTATTAGGCTTAATGGCATGAGGAATTTTTCTTTAAAGGATAATGGCTTACAACGCAAATACAGAGAGTGTGGAAGAAAAATTATGATTTTCATTTTAATAAATCTCCGGTGTGAGTCAGTGGCTTAGGGATTATAAATTCATTGCGTGATTTTTTTAGTTGGGCACAGTGGGCTTCTAAATTTTTTTAAATTAGTAATAAACTTTATATTTTTAAGACAGTACTAGATTTATGGCTTTTATGTTAAGTTTTTATTAGTGAAAAAAAGAGTCACTTGTACTGTAATAACCAGTCCTCACACCAAATAGATTTTTGGACCATTTGAAATCTCTTGAATTAAAAAGCAAATATGGGGAGTGGGTCAAGAAGAAAAACTAAGCCCAAGCACCTACTCCTACTCTTCCAAATCCTGGAACTTGCAGATTTCAAACAGTCAGTGTTCATGATAGAAAACCAGAATCATTGCCATAAGTTTTGGGAGGCTTCTGAAAGATAGGAAGATGGAATTGGATTGATGGAGATTGGGAATGTTTGAGGGGGATCTCTAGATTCACAAGCAATAGATAGCTTCTCTCTCAGACACAGCAGAGAGGCGGCACACCGCTCAGGGTTAGTGGTTAACATCAGCTCCCAGGAAGCTGGTGAATGGACACCTTTCTGGGACACTGCTGGGCCATAGCCCAGACTTATAGCCTGACACATTATATTGAAATTTTAGAGCACAAAGGATTTTTAAAAATTCCTAAGAGCTGCCAGAGAGGAAAGATTTGATTAGTCATAAGGAATAAAGACTTGTGTTGGTGGCAGGCCTCTCATTAACAGTACCACAAACTAGGTGACACTGGGGAAATTGATTCAGAGTTCTGAAGGGAAATGATTTCTGAACCTAGAATCCCTCAGCAGAAAGAGAAAAACAACACCAACAATAAAAGATGTTGCATAGAAAATATAAAATAAGCTGGCTGGAATAAGCCAAACATATTAGCAGGAGACAGAGGTATGAACTGTCACTGACACAAAATGCAGAAACTGTAAAGCATAGAATAGATATTTTGATACAATAAAAAATTTAAGGGCCGGCCCGGTGGCGCACTGGAGAGTGCGCCGCTTGGGTGTTAACACAAAATAACTACTACAAACAAAATTATACTGAATATAAAAAATATTCTCTAAGGAATAAAAACTATACTGTCCTTTAAAAAGTACAATAGCGGGCCGGCCCGGTGGCGCACTGGAGAGTGCGCCGCTTGGGTGTGCAGCGGCGCTCCCGCCGAGGGTTCGGATCCCATGTGGAGACCGGTTTCCGCTCACTGGCTGAGTGTGGTGCGGGTGCAACACCGAGGGTTGCGATCCCATTGCCGGTCCCCGGTACGGGCGCGACACGGAGGGTTGCGATCCCGTTACTGGTCAGTAAAAAAAAAAGACAAAAAAAATTTAAATCTTCAGTATAAAAATGTCACACATACAGAAACATAAAAAGACCAGTAACAGACGGGGTGGGTAGTACATGCAACAAGTGTAACAAGGATTCATGTGCAAGCATAAAAAGAACTTCCAGAAACTGATACTCAAATGTTGTTCTCTCAGTACGGCCTTCCCTGGCCATCTTGTTAAAAACCACAAATGGCCTGTCCCAGACTCTCTCTCTCCTTTCCCTGCTGGACTTACACCCTTGACACTCGTCCCTGCCTCTCAGGTTTATTCTCAGCCTTTCCTACTAAATCAGGAGTTATACAAGGGCGGGGATTTGTCTGTTTTACTCACTGCTGTATTTCCCACACTTAGAGTAGAACTTTGTTACACAATAGCAGTAGGTATCCAATGAATAAAATAATAAAAGACAGTTTACAAACTAATAAAATACCAACATGAAAAGATATTCACAAGTAATCACAAAACTGCAAATGAAAACCACTGTGAAGTATTATCTACCTATGAGCTTATCAGAATGTAAATAGTTAATACTTGGTGTTAGTTAGGATGCAGGGAAACACAGACTTTTATACAGTGCTGGTGCAAGTAGAAATTGGCAAAACCTTTTTGGATGACTGTTTGTTAGTATTAATATTTGAAATGACCCAACAATTACAACTTCAGGACTAAACTTATTTTTAAAAAGAAGAAATATTTGCTTATGTGAAAAAAAAAACCCTATATATAAGGATATATTTTGCAGCATTATTTGTAATGGTGAAAATTTGAAACACTAAATGTCCATCCTTAGAGATGGTTACATATCTTTGGTGCATCCTTCTGTACCACAGATACATGTGGGGGTTGAAAATAAGTGTGTATAGGTGGAGTGACATAAATAGGGCTCTTACACCAGTCGCGAAATGGAAAGGTTAAAAAGTTTTTTTTTTTTAATTTTAAGTAAAATACAGGTAGTACAATCCCGTTTATGTTAAGAAAAAGCCAGCATACATGTTCATATATGTATACAAGAACCTAAACTGGAAAGATGTACACCCATAGTTGACATTAGTTGACACTGCAAAGAGGATTGGAAAAGAAAGGGAGTAGTAAAGAAGGATTTTAACCTTCTCTCTGTGCATTTTTGTACCATTTTAAGTAGCACTGGAGAGAGGGAAGATTGGACAATGGCTATGATCTGAATGCTTCCCATGTGCCTTGTATTGATCGGCCCACTGCATACATTAGCATATTTAATTTATAAATCTGATTTACAAATGAGAAAAGTAGGGATGTTGTGTTAAGTAACTTGTCCAAGGTTATGTTTTGTATTGCTTTATGCATACATGTTTTTAAGTAAAAAGATACTATGTTTAAGAGCTATAACTTTTTTTATTTTTAACCATAAGACTCTATTGAGAACAGCTTTTTATGTCATTAAAAAAAGATCTGCATCATTTTTAATGGCTATATAATATCTCATCTTCAAGATGTACCATAATTTATTCAGCCAGTTCTCTGTTAATGGGCATGTAGGGTGTTGGCAGTGTTGGGCTTTCACAGATAACCTGTAGTACCCATACATGCAGATTTGTGTGTATGCTTGTCCGATAATATCCTTAGGACAAATTCCCAAATGTATAATTGCTCAGCCAAAAAGGATGCAATTTTCAAATGTTGACGTATATTTCCATATTATCTTTCGGAATAGTTATACTGATTCACATCCTTGCCAGTGTTGCATGTTGTCCTTTAAGTTTGTGATAGTCTGATGAACAATAAAAATAATCTCATTTGCACCTTTATATGATTTTGAAATATTTTATCTGCAAAACAAAAATGAGCAGCCCTTTGCTGTGCTCATGATCCAGTCAGTAAAATGAGTAACAGTGAAATTTAAGTCGACCTCATTTGTTTCATTTTTGATGTTGCTCAAGATGCAAAATTTTGAAATTGTTAACAATTACAAATAAAGGACTTGTATATGCATTATAAAATTCTACTTATTATTTGTGTCTCATGTTTTGTATAGAAAATCTTAATATTTTTAGTCATTTTCTTATGTGTACTGTTAATAATTGAATGGTGGTGTACAGAGTCCTAAATTTCAAACAATGAAAACATCACTATGTTTGTCATGAGTTATACTGAGAATGTAATAATTGAATATAGTTGTATTTGACTTTCAGGTCATACTTTTTGACTAAATCAATGACTAATGCAATTTCAACCAGGAAGTAGCCAGAAAGCTCCTTATTTCCTTCATTTCCTCACATGTCAGTGACGGAAATGGACAATAAAACGTCTCGTAAGGTGATCCCACCCAGGCACCACCACTTTCCCTCTAGGTAAACTTGAACTTGTCTGGCTCACACTCCTCACATGTCAGTGACGGAAATGGACAATAAAACGTCTCGTAAGGTGATCCCACCCAGGCACCGCCACTTTCCCTCTAGGTAAACTTGAACTTGTCTGGCTCACACTCTCCTTGGGAAGAAGGGGATTACACTGGAGCGTAATGAAGTGGTTGTGTTTAGGGAAGCTTTTTCAGTGGCTGCATTATGACAAGGAGGAAGTACACATTCCTCGTGTCTCCTCTTTTTCCTGTGGGACTTTGCACACCTGGAGTCAAAGCCAGGAGAGGGGAATAGGAAGTCCTGGGAACATTTTGCAGAGAGTCACTGCTCTCTAGTTTTCATTGCTAGGAGCTGCAAGATCTGATTTGGCTGTACCCTCATGGGCATCTGAAAATTGATCTGTGCCATCATCTGACTGGGTGTGTCATCACTGCTATGTGGAGGTCTAAGTCTGGGAAACTGGCAACAGACACAGAAGCCAACAGAACCATCTTTTAGTACCTACTCCTCCTCTCTTTGCTGGAGAGACAAATGCAGCCTCCTTAACAGACCAGTTGCTAACAGCAGAGGTAGTCAGTAGGCTCTTCATTCACTAAGTCCTTATGTATTGAGTCCATATGTGTTGAGTTTCACACACAGTCCTTCCTCCTGGGGCTTTAAAAGTGATCCCTCCCGATATGGTCCCTGCCTTCATGGCACTTACAATCCAGTAGTGGAGACACACAGGCAGATAATGACATTAATAATTACAAGTCTGAGACATGCTACAATAGCAAACCACATGGTGCCATGAGTGGGTGTAACGGGGGCCTACCCCAGCCAATTCCTACTCAACAGAGCAGAGTGAAGGGTGTGGCCACCCTAAGGAGGCCACCCTACGGAGCACTGTGCACAAGACCCTGCACACTCTAGACACTCAGATAACTGTTGTGCATGCAAGCACGGCCCGTTGAGGATAGCCCGGGGTCCTGCAGGCTCTTCCTTGCTGAAATCTGGCTCCTTACGGAAATGGCCCTCCTGATGGCACGGAAGCTGACCACTGCCTTTGCTTTGGCTGGTTCAGGCGCAGTTTGACATCGCTGTGGCCAGCGAGATAATGGCGGTGCTGGCCCTGACTGACAGCCTCACGGACATGAAGGAGAGGCTGGGAAGAATGGTGGTGGCCAGTGACAAAGGCGGGCAGCCTGTGACTGCAGACGGTTTGGTGAGTGTGTTCAACTCAGAAGTGCCAGCGTGCTCGCTGTCCTTGTTCTTTTGTAATCAGAAGAGGGAAGATTTTCTTCCTTTTATCAGTGTGTGTAATGGGGGTTCAGAGAATTTCTGCACACGCATTTTCCCTCACAAGCCTGTTTGTCTTAACAGCTTCTTAGCGTTCTCACAGGCGTTTATAATGTGCTTGTATGTGGCTGCAATCAAAACACATGACATTTATTTCATAACCTTTTTGCCATTCTTGCCAGTCCTGATCTCTGTTTCTGCCTGGGGTGAGGTAGGGTCTTCCTCCTGCAGTCAGTGGCTTTTTAAAAATGTGCCATCTATGCCTGCCTGACATTGAGGGCAAATCATCTTTTTATTTATTTATTTTTTTTTCCTTTTTTTGTCTTTTTTCGTGTCCAGCAATAGATCGAAAAATGTGCCATCTATGCCTGCCTGACATTGAGGGCAAATCATCTTTTTATTTATTTATTTATTTTTTCCTTTTTTTGTCTTTTTTCGTGTCCAGCAATGGATCACAACCCTCAGTGTCGCTCCCGTACCGGACCAGGACCGGCAATGGGATCGCAACCCTCGGTGTTGCACCCGCACCTCGCTCAGCCAGTGAGCGGGAACCGGTCTGTATGTGGGATCCAAACCCACGGCGGGAGTGCCGCCGTGCTCCCAAAGTGGCGCACTGTAGCAGTGCGCCACCGGCCCGGCCCGCAAATCATCTTTTTCAAGGGATAGAAGTAAATGGCCTTCATGAACAGGAAGATAAAATTGGCACATTTTTGGCACCAGCCTGCTCCCTCGGCACCCAGCGTATATAATTTTGTGCCTTAGATTTGGGTTTCACAGTATAAAAGCAAATCTCCGCCTCAGTCTTACTCTTCCGTCTCCCTCTGACTAGAGCACTGCTCTCTGTGTGGCTTTCATGGTATCACTTAATGCCACTTTTCTAGTGCTGCTTCTGATTTGAAACCCTAATCTGTTTTTTCTTCTTAATAACAATCTTTACTGTTGACTGAACCCCTGCTAGTATCATAGCTGTTTCACTTGCTTTCATGTGTTTATAAGTGCATAGGCATGACATAGGTCTATTGGACAGCCATTACTCTAAATTTAACCTTGTTTTTCTGTATACTGAGTCACAAACTATAATGGAACGTGAAGTGCACACAGACTATTAAGAAACAGCTGTGAATGGAGAAGGGCAGAGTGATATTTTATTAATTCCCAGGGTTCAGGACGTAATGTATATCCTTTGCCAAAGTGTTTTGATTACTTTTTGGCTTTTTTGAAGAAATGAATCTGACTTACTCATCTCATAGGTCTTGTCAGATAAATAGAAAGGTTTATATCAGCAGCACTGTGGAGTACTTCGTGTGAGGCTTAAAGAGAAAACCCAGGTTCACACTGCTGTAAAAGTGCTGCTTTTTTAAAATTACCAAAATCTCAGCATTTTAGTATCTAAA